GAGAAAGCATTTGCATTTGTAACACAATCCAAAAAGATTGACAATGTCTTAAAAGTAGCTATGTGCATGAGAATGACTGGTAAATTTTGCGATTTTCTTACTGATCCTTTAACCCCTTAAGTAACACTTACTGCATTTATAAGATATTCTTGTGATCATCCCAAATATCTTGAGCAGCTAAAAAGAAACCTTAAATATAAATTAGCAACCACTTAACAACATTACACACAAAAAAAAAAAAGAAAAAAAGAAGAAGCTTACATAAGGAATCACCTAGAGTTACATCAATGGAGGAGGCATTTATTCCAGTGATTGCTGCATCAATACACAATCCATACTAGTTAACATTCCATAACCAATACGGCAATCTCCCATGAGAATTTTCCTGATTGTCTTGACCCTCTCTTGTTGGGTTTCTGGTCCCAAAAATGAGACGAGTTTAAAATGAGATGAGTTTCTTGAGACTACCTTTGTTGAAATACATTCTACATCACCAGAAGGGATGAAAAGAAAAATTCATCAAGATAATACTATATTAATGACAGCAGGCAAAGACGCTTTTTCACCTTTCAACAATAACTCTTTGGCTTTGGCAGCAAATTAGGTAGCTGAATATCAGAGTGAACAGAACAAGCAAGTACTTCAGCCATGATAAGAGAAACCTCCTCTGAGGATGTGTCTTTGGATCATCTTTAGTTCCACCTTTCATGGACTCTTGATTGTAGGATGCGTGTAGAATATACCATCACTAAGCAAAAATATATATCAATATAGTATATACAATTCAGAGTTTAAATAAAAGTTTATGAATAAGAGCATATGATATATAAGCTCATTAATACCTTCCTTCAATATATGTAACTCGGAAACATACAATATGTAAATGCTAATGTACATATTTTGTTTCAGAGATTCTGATTTCATTAGGAATAAACATGTTATTTCAAACTTAGCAAGCAGAAAAAAATTTATCTGATTTTTCAGTTTACACAAAACACAACATACCATCTAGTTAAGTAATTAAGCACAAATCATCAATTTATCCAACACTTATTCACCCACTAAGCCTGCATTCGAAACTGCTTTTAATTTTAATTAATATTTTTTTATATTTTATAGTAAGTTTACATATACACACAATATTTTCAAAGAAATTATAAGATGTTAACATAATTTTTGTGATAAAGAATCTTGTACCAAATTACAAAACATATACAGTGAGATAGAATAGGGGCAACTCCTATTCAACTGTTAGTAATAATAGGAACAAGTCATTGCCATAACACTACACAGGAATTCCAAGTATAGAACAATACAAGAGTTTAAAATCCAAGAGGAAAAATGAAAACACATGCACAAAAAAAAAAAAAAAAAAAATCAGCTTCTTGCCAGTCTATGAATCAGATCACCTGACAAAGAATAAACCGACAGATACCCTTTATAAGTGCCGACGGCCACTACCCTAATCTCGTTAAAAACCAGCAACTCGAGGACAGGTCGGGTCGGATCTTGAGCCTGCGTTCATCGGGATCAGTCAATCAGACCACCCAAGGACGAGAAAAAGAGTTCAGTGGGCGATGTCAAGAGAGTGGGAATCCAGAGCGCAAACGACGGTGGTGTCACCCTCAGCCATCCCGACCAGATCCGACATAACTGAGCCCCCCCTCGCAGGCGATGCAATTGCAATTTTGCAACCAACATCCTTCGAATGCGTCCATTTCGGCACTGACTGGAATTTCAATTTAACTGTTCGGAGAGTAGTACGGTAAAAGGAAGAAGATAACGTGTGCAGTCCGCATATTAAAAAAAGAAAAGAATTCAATTCATTCATTAAAACGCACCGTTAAAAGGAAAGGAATGACCAACGAAAAGTTGCATCAAGTGGTAAACGGCTTGTTTCAGCTTAAATAAGATTTCGAGTTCGAGTTCTTGCGTATGCAGCAGCCTTTGTTGGGAGACTCACTCACCATTTTTAGGTGCACGACCCGAGTCAAGTCCGGATTAATCGGGGCGAAGCCCCGGATACCGGGCAGGAAACGAAAAAAAAAAGGAAAGGAATGGAAGAAAACTTGGAAAAGTGATAACATAGAAGACATTAAGTTCTTCGCCAGAATTTTCTACAAGCATTAAAAAGGCATAACAATCTCAGACAAAAAGGACAACTGCCTGTCGTTTCTGCAGCCAACTAATTAAGTTCAAGCACACATTATTTTTGTCAGATCTTCTTGGAGGAAGAAAGAAAGCCAACTGCCGGCAGCTTCTGCTGCGGAAAGGAAAGCAAAATTACAAAAATTATTACGACTATTCTGTCCATTGTTGTGATTAGGAGCACAAATAAAAACAGGCTGTAGAAACTCACCAAAGAGCGTTGGTTGTGTTTTTGGGTTTTTCTCTTCTTTTGCCTGCGGGTGCATCTTCCAACAAATTTCTGTTGATATTTCTCCGCCTTCTTCATCACCCATCATAGTTTTCCTGTTGTGAACACAATGTATCCAGACTAAGTCCCAATACCAGTCCAGACTCCAGACCCATATCCCACCAATGAAAACTTCCACTCAAAGAGTGCCGCAGAGTCACCTTCTTCATCAAATTTTGATGGAGGTGCTCCTGGTTCTTCCTCTTTGTGGCATTTCTTTGTTAACGGAAATCCACACAACCCAGAGTTCTCAATGTAAGAATCATTTGAGAAAGTATTGAACTGCTTCTCTTGAGGAATGTCACCTTCAAGTTTGTTGTCTGAAAGCTTCAAAACTGAAAGGAATGTCAAACTTGTCAGCTCCTCAGGAGTCCTACCATCAAGCTTGTTTGATGAGAGATCTAGTGATTCAAGCTCTGTTATTTTCCCCAAAGACGATGGAATTTGACCAGTGAGACTGTTGTGAGACAAGTTTAGGAAATGAAGTGAATTGAGTTCTCCCAGCTCTTCAGGAATGTGTCCCGGAATCTATTATTAGAAAAATCAATAGTTGAGAAAATTGTCAGGATTCTCTTCAGCTCCAACTTTAAACCTTTCACTATTACTATCACAGAATAATCGCAGTAATTATCAAAATGCAACAGCTACCATGACAATTAACTAATACACAAACAACACATGAACAGAAACAAGTAAGGCCTGCCTAAATTACTTTCCCTATTTCTATTACACTTTAACCGTATCTCATAACAATAAGTACTTCTGTTAGTTGATACAAGTCCATACGTATAAAAGCATCAATGGGTGCACAGAACAAAATGAGAAAGGAAAAGCAGGAAATTGGGCACTAAAACAGGAAATGTAGCCGGCTAAAAAGTAAGAAACACTACAAATATAACTTATAGACTTACAGTAAATTGACGTTGCAAAAAAATGTCATTATGACGTTAGTGAAGTGCAAAGAGAAATAAAGATCAGTTATATGAACTTAATCTTCTAAGATTGTTTCTGTTTTCTTAATGAAACAATTTAGATCCTTCGTAAAAGAATTATATCTTTCAACTTCCAAGAACTCTTGATAAAAGCATAAATTCTTGCTGTGATCTATTATGAAATGAGTTGCTTAATATATTATTGCAAACACAACAAACTTACTCACCTGAAAGCTAAGATCACAGCATCATCTCCTATGGTGACCGCACAGACTGCCCAACAATGAAAGCAGCTGAATTCAAATACTAGAATAAATTCAAAAAGTTTCCATTTTTCATTGGAAAAGAGAAAGCAAAATAACTAAAAATGAAACAGGGAAATAACTCTTTTGTATTATTAAATTATGTTTTTTGTTGAAATCATGTAGCCAATAATTACTCAAAACTTTAGACCATTTGAAGCACTTCTATAGAATCCATCTGCAAGCAGTTGGCTCTAATTATACAACGAATCACCTTAGAGTTCCACCAATGGGGGAGGATTATGTCAGTGATTTCTGCAACAACACAAAATATTAATTAAAAGCACTAAACTGGCAATAGTAATATAACAAAAGCACTCAATGGGTAAACTAATGGGGCCCCATTTCCATACAAATACTTTCAGTTAATAAATCTAGTGGGTGACAGATTTTCATATTATATTTAAAAGAAAATTGATTTCAATCTGTAGACTTCTTTCTCCAATCTAAACATATCTTAAAGATCGTGCATATATACCTCAAGAATTTGTTTCCAAGGCAATAGTCATTCTTTGTTAGTTCAAAGTAAGAGGAACTTCACCCAGACAACCTCTGTTGATTAACATCTCCAAGAACAAGCAGCTTGCGTTAATTAATTATATCCATGAAAGAGCAAATGAAATCCATTATTCAGTTAAGATAACTTACTAGTTTAAAGATATTCAAAATAACTCGGACTGAACAAACCTTCTACAGGAGCATCAACAAGTGCCCAAGTGTCTAAGAGCAGCAATATACAGCCAAGTGAACTGCTTATGGTAGACAATGTACCGCTCTGAGACAAGGTGAGTTTCCCCGTTTCTGCAGTGATCTGCCAAAAATGTGAAAGGAGAAACTGTGATGAAATCAATAAAACATTCAAGAGGCTTTCAAATAAGAACAAACAAGAATTAAGACAACTAAAAGAAGAGTGCTAATCCCATAAAGGCTAAATGGCAAATAAAATTTAAAAAGCGATAGCATCCATTATGAATAGACAGCAACACACAGTATCACAATCACCTTGGACACCTTAATATAACAGAAACACATAAGAGCTGCATTAACTACTCCCTCAATTTCCATTACACTTTAATTAGCTGAATCTTATAACAACAAGAAATCTCTATTTATTAATCTAGGCCCAGGGTAATACAAAGTTTTGGTGAATGCACAAGGCAAAATGAGAAAGAAAAAGTAGGAAACTGGGTCTGGGACTTAATACAATATCGCTAGCAAAAAAATGAGAAATGCCTCAAATAGAACTTACAATAAATTGAGGTTGCTAAACAAATTCAAGTGCTTTACCCTATCGAAACCAACTGTTACATAAATAGAACTCATAAAAAATTCAGGCTGTTACACAGTTTTCTTAATGGAACAGTTTACATTCTTGATAAATGAATTGCTTTCCCTTATAGAATGCAACACGAAAAGAAAAATATCCACCAGATACAACTTTCTTTATTTTAGCTTCTTATCAGACACAAGAAATAATTCACAAGACAACCCAATATCAATGACAATAACAGGTAAAGATATTTTTCAAGTTTTAACAATAATTCTTAGCCTTTCACTGCAAAATAAGTACCTGAATATCAGCAAAACAAGCAATTGCTTCAGCCATGACAACCAAAACCTTTCCTGAGGATGTAATCTTGGGTCAACTGTCTCCTAGCCCCATAGATTCTCAATTTTAGGATGCTCGCAGGATATACCATTTGTTAAAAAAAATCCATTGATGAGTTCGCAAAAAGAACAACAAATATAACTCTAATTTATCTCAGCAAAAATATCCATTGATGACCTACATTGACTAGCTATGAATATAGTGTATACACCTCAGAATTTAAATGAAAGTTTACAAATGAAACGTGGAACTTACATATGGTAATGCTAACCTACATATGTTTTTAAGAGACAGAAACATCTTATCTCAACCTTGGCATATGCAGTATAAAAATATCTAAAATTTTTTAAGTTAAAGTAGTAGAGGCAAAACACATTAATATCTTCCACGCAGAGAAAATTACAGCTTTCCCCTTTAAGACAAAAATTAATGTCTCCAAACAGAAGGAAAATTACCTGCCTATGAATCAGATCGCCAGCCAAAGAATATGACTTGAGTTTGGCGATGGCTACAGTGTGGGCCTCCGGAGAGCAAAAGAGGTTGGGATCTCCCTCACCCAGCCTTCTTAAGCAATAATCCTCCTTGAAATGGCTCAACTATCATCCAAGATTCGTCGGATGCGTCTCTACTTCCACATCGATTGGAGAACTATGGTGAAAGCAGATGTTCGGGGGTTTAAAAATTAAAAAAATTTTACATTTTACTTCAGTAAAATGGACTGTTCAAAGACAACCAAAACAAAGGAAGAGAGAACAAAATATAGGAAGAGACAACATTAAAGGAAACAAACTACATTAAGAAAAATACATGAGCAATTGTGTGCAGAGTACATAAATGAAATCCAAAAGAAATTAACACAAATTCATACATAACCATAATTCCCACACAAGTCAACACAACTATATATCAACAATGAACATGAAAAAGATGGAAACAAACTCAAGAAGCAACTGTTGCCATATCTCCCCAGAGTAGGAAATCAACTGCACTTGGTTGCACCTATGTAAAATAAAGTAAGAGTAGAAAAATTAAGTTTAACTATTATATAATATACCTTGATTTTTATGGTTAGAACTTAGGTAGAACACAAATATTATAGAGACAGTTGTAGAAACTTACTCACCTAAGAGTGTTGGTTGGGTTTTTGGGTTTTTCTCTTCTTATGCCTTTGGTTGCACCTTCCAATTAATTTCTGTTGGTATTTCTCCACTTTCTTCACCACCCACCATGGTTTTCCTGTAGTGAAGGCAATGTATCCCAGACTAAGTCCCAACACCAGTCC